CATTACAGGGATTGCTGTGCAACTAGAGAAGCACTCCCTGTGAGTCACCAAATTACTGGTTCTATCCAGTAAACCGCCAGTCTCAAATGTAGCTTCACAAGACAGGACGCTCACTTACATTTTGTAAGACAAGTGTTTTCTAATATCATTACAATGTATGGCCAATCCTGGTGCAATGGACAGTTATCATTCAAAAGAAAAAATGGAGAGAAACGTTAAAGAAAAGGGAAATTTATATTTACCTTATGCCCCCGCACACGGAGAAAACAAAACCCTAACAGTGGACCCACTCCCCTGGCCAGACAGACCTTTTTTTTCAGAATTCTATCATCCTAACCCTGTATACTTTATAGGAAAATCTGGTGGAGGCTACATCTGAAGAGAGATAATTAATTAGGCGCTAACTGAAAGACCGTTCAGAGATCAGTAACTGTTAATGCATTGAACACATTTTGTTTCAAACTGCCCCTTCTACGACCATGAAAGAAAGGACCTGTTTGAAGAGGCCAACAAATTCTATCCTATTTAGTAAGTTTTCCACATTTAGAGACAAAAAAGAAAACTTCTCTCCTCTTATTAACAAAACAAAACCCACACATTATGGAAAAAGTCTTCCACCGTCTCGGAAAAAGAAGCTTCGCAGTCAAACCTAACAAGTTAGAATCTAGTGTTAAAAGAGCAGTCACATACTATATTGTTGCAACAAACTTTCCTATATGTTCAGTGCTGTCTCCTCTGTTAAGTCCTAGTGTGTGCGGTCTCCCAACTTGCTGTACAGTACTTTTTTTAACACAGTAGTTCATTGCAAGGCCTATACGACCACTTCTCTGCATTGAACTAGAAATATGAGAGAAACATGGCTATGTCAAGAGATGGCGGTGAACATTTGATTTAAAAGCCTGTAGATTGTAGGTTGGTGGGAAACACTTGTCAGGGAGGGAATTCCAAAGCTTGGCTGAACAGGGAAAGAAACTGTCACTGTAAAAAGATTTCGAACAAGGAATTTGGACAGTGAAGTTGTGTGAGGTAGTGGAGAACCTAGTGGAATGCTTAAAAGTTCTGAGTGGTGGAACTAGTTGGGTGAGTTCTGCAGAGCAATGACCATGAAAATATCTGTAAAAGAGGGATAGAGAGGCAACATTTTGTCTATGGGAAAGGGTGTCTAACGTGGAGGCCAGAGGATAGCCTATGGCCATGCAAATTCTCTTTGTATGCGATCAAGAAGGTGCAGGCAACACTTACCAACTGTAGAGTTCGCTTGCGCAGACGTTCCTTCGACGTACACCAGAAACAACATCAACAGTACAGTCTTACTAGTAGACCCCGCCATGGTATCTTCTCAGTCACAATCAATCGCCTTTCCACCAGTAGTAGCCTGACAAAATACCGAGCTAGGTGTGCGGTAGTACGGAATATAACTGACGCAAGCACTGGGCTGAAGTGTATGTTAATTTGTACATACGTAGGTGAGTCAATATGCTCACAGGCACGCCTCCCTCTTCAGATGGCAGATTGTTTGCTCCCGTACGCTGCCTGACTGCTGTCATTAGGTCTACGTTCACAGCACAATGAGCAGCAAATAGCACGGCTGTTAATCAAATTCTGGGACCAGAAATGCTGTCATTTGGTCGCCACCTCAACCCAAGGCCACACCAATTTAATTTGTTGGTTCTCGGATTTTTTCAGAAAAAATATGAAGCAACAGGGCAAAAAAAACACAGGTCTCGTTTTCACATCCTATTATAGCCCCAAATGCTACAATAGGAGCCAGGAAGTCAACATAAAAGAATGGCTTAATATTTAAATAATGAATTTTGAACTTTTAATCAAACCACTGCATTGATGGAAGAAAAGGACATTTCTAAACAGTTGGGAGCAAAATATGAGCATATTTGAGTTGATTCAGAACCATCTTTTTTTTGCAAACCAGAAAAAATGAAGAGGCAAATCCGAGAACCAACAAATTAAATTGGTGTGGCCTTGGTTACTGAAATTTCAAGTGCCAGCTTAGCCAAGATGCATCCATGTTGTCCAGTATAATAATGATTCCATTTTACTTTTACAACAAAATGTTAACCATATTACATTATATCGAAGGATACAAAAAGGTTCCAAGAAAAGACTCTAATATATTTGCAGCAGCAAAGCAGGTTATACATGTATTTATCACAGTCACTAGACACTGTCAAAACAGGCACTTACACACAGTCAGTCATATTTGTTTATCAAGGCACAACGATGAGAGTTCAAAGTGCAAAAAGTCATTACTTTAACATTCCTTCTACTGAAAGAACCTTCCGAAAATGGTTTCATCAGGTTGGTAAAGTAGGATACAGGAGTTTCCTTTTACACAACCAAGATAGACTAACCTTGTGCTTGCATTTTGGTGTCTATCAGACACCTTCCTCAGAGCTTCTGACTGGAGTTCTGCTTCTCGCTTTTGTGGTGCTTTTGTGGCGAGAACACAATCCCAAAGAAAACTCCATGACAGAGAATTTGTCTTGTTGTATAGGACATTGGAGTTTTCCCTTCACACCACCAGTAAAGTCTGTCACCTGGTTACCTTTCAATGCCTATCAGACACCTGCCTCAGAGCTTCTGACTGGAGTACTGCGTATGTAGAGAGTCAAGGTGGGATACAAACTTTACCATCTTTGGTGGGATGTTCTTGCTGCAAAAGCGCCACATACATTGGCTACATACAGTGTATAGCAGCAAGAAGCAGAACTCCTGACAAGTAATACTTCTGTAATATTTACCACAATATACATCATACACATATATATCATCATCATCATACATGTTCAGCATTCAATTCTAAAATTCAAAACACAAATGCAAGTATGAAAATGACCATGAATTTTGTATCCTTTTTTTCTGCATACATACATTGTATGGTACAAGTATCTACAAGAATGACACAAGAGCTCTATTCTAGGTTATACATATCTACACCTGCACAAATCGGACTGGGCTTCTTTTTCCGCCGACCAGACTGGACTCATTTTTCCACCAACCCGTGGTACAGTATCTCCTCTTAGTCACAAATTGTCACTAATTGATACAAACACCCTATTGAAGTACAGAAACTGATAACTATACTGCACTACTAAAAATATCAAAAAATGAAAAAAATGCTACAGTTTACAAAAAATGTATATCATGATAGTCTGATTATGTTCTATAAACATTGGAGACCCTATTATTTCCAACACCAAGTTTTGTACTATGTGTTTTAAACTAAGCAGCAATACAACAAATGTGCAACAGCTCCAACTTTGTATTCGGCCACACCAATTTAATTTGTTGGTTCTCAGACTGGCTTCTTCCTTTTTTTTCTGATTTGCAAAAAAAAAAAAGATTCTAGTTCTAAGTCAACTCATATTTTGCCCCCAACAGTTGAGTAAAGTCCTTTTCTTCCTAGTTGCTACAGTTTTTCCATCTATGAATGCAGTGGTTTGATTGAAAGTTCAAAATTCATTGGTTGAATATCAACTCAGCCTATCGTGTTGACTTCATGGCTCCTATCGTAGCATTTAAGCCTATAATAGGATGCCTAGACCTGCTATTACAATGTATTTTTTTTTCTCCCTGTTGCTTCATATTTTTTCTGAAAATATCCGAGAACCAACAATTAAATTGGTGTGGCCTTACAAAATACAAAATAATACCCAAGTGGTAACAACATCTATCTTTTACATCAAACTCACTGACATGATTTCCCCAAAAGCACTTATTGCATTGATAGAGTATATATACATAGTACACATTCAAATACTTTTAACGAGTACATGTATAAAAGCCCCCCCCACCAGCTTCAGAAAAATGTACAATCAAAAAAAGTAAAGAGATGAGCATGTTTGAATGCACAAAGTAGCGATCAACCAGGAAAACTAATTGTAAAATATTGAATATTTACAGACTTATTTCTTTGTACAAGCTCATACCTCTTTCCCTTAAGCCACCTAACAGTTCCAAGAGCACATGTCATTGATGCATTGTGGTCAAAGTCAGAGTTCAAACAGTTAGACAGTCTCATGAAAGTTCATCTGTGTTGAACAACGAGCAGATTATTTTTGGACTGAGCAGAGCACTTTGGACTAATGCTCTTTTAGTCTTACTACTAAAACCTATTCTGATATTTTGTGGAAAGGTTCTCTGTTACCCAATGGATCATAATACCCCCCAGTAAGACCCTTCATGCTTCATTGAAAATGAAAATAAATCTCGAGATTTTTTTTAAATCGCAAAATTTGGTAGACTATAGTTACATGTTCAAAGTTAAAACTTTTGTTCCAAAACTACTGAGGAAGACCAGTGTGACTGGTCGAGAAGCTCTAGGTGTGAGAATCTCTTTGTGTTGGATCAAAAGTTTTAACAATGCCCACTTGTCTAGATTTTTTGTGACACAGATGTCACTGAAATGTAGCTCTAGCAGAATGTTGTTTCTAGTCAAGGGATCTTGTCCTTTGACCAAACCAGCAATGCATCACTTGCCCATGCACATGAGGAACTATGAGGCGGCTTATTTGTGGCAGGGCTCTAGCCAGCACCTGTTTTTCTGTCAAGTGCAGGAACTTTGTGATGGAAAAATTATGAAACCAATCCGTCAACCTTGACTGACAAAAGTGACAAAATCAAAATCTTGGGAAAAAATATAAAAACATCCCAACAACCACCCTCAACCACATGATTTGCTTCTCAAAGTGTGGGAAATTGCATTTTTTTTAAAGGCTCGAAAGTGGCGTCTGTGGTGCAACCGGGTTAGAGCATTGGACTTGGAACCAAGAGGTCCCGTGTTCTATTCTCACCATACATATGCCCCCAAAAGGCTTGAAAATCCAAAAATTACCCACAGACACCCCTAGATTGCAAGCACTCTCCCCCCAACAAGCCTTGAAATTAACTTTTTTTCCTATTGTCCCAGCATTGTCCCAAAAATAAATTTCGATTGTCCCAAAGTGAGTATATACTGTCCTAACCTATTTTTTTTTTTTTGCTTGCGTTCTGACTCCCAGGCACGTTATAATTGCAGAGTAGACAAATTTGAGGGGCTTTTCTAGAGCCAAATGCCGGGACGCGTGCCTGATCAACGAAAGAAGGGCTGACATTCTGATGTTGATTATTTTTCTATTGACCCAAAAATGTCTTAATTAAAAGTGTCTTTTTAGTTGTCCTAGCCTACATTTTAGTGGTCAGTGGCCATCGGGACACTGTTAATTTTGAGCTGGGCTGAGGGAAAGAGTTCTGAGCTGGCTAGAGCCCTGATTTGTGCTGCTCGTGTAGAGGGGCTGTGCTAGACAGTAAGGGATGGCTCAAAGTCTTCGTTCGACGCACTCATAAGAACCTGCAGTGGTAGAAAAACTTTTATTTAATGTTCTGCAATATTGCAGTATGTCAAACACTTGTTCTGCAATTCGGAAATACTTTTTTGTAAACACACACTTGAAAGTCCGGATCTAACATCTGTGTCCATAATATCACCAGGGTCCATAATATCACCACCTTGAGAAACAGACTGAGTGTGCTTAAAGATATTTCTACTGCAACATACTTTTGGTATGTACTCCTTCACACGTCAAATGTACATACCTAGGGTATGTTGCAGTAAAAATATCTTTAAGCACACTATTTCTCAAGGTGGCGATATTATGGACCCTGGTGATATTATGGACACAGATGTTTACATGTACACCCATGGCTTGTAGAAAATTGCATGTTGGCAAACATTCTACACGCAATTTGAAAAATACAGGCAAAACTACATAATATAATTTATTAGAGTTAGTAGTAAACACATTGAAAATATCTCTGCAAAATGCAGACCACAAAGGAAAAAAGGAAAGTGATGTTGACCCAGTTTTAGCTCACTGAAGAGCTAATCTCCCACTGGTCATAACAGAGAAGACAGACACTATGTACAGTATTTACAGGTTCATTGTACCGGGGAAATTCCCCTAGCTCTTTCCAACAAGCACAATGAACAATGGACCACAGCTTAACGTCCCGTCCAAAGGACTGCAACCCCTTCCAGTGACATGCATGTTGGGTGAGCGACAACAGCCAGGATTCGAACTCCTAACCTCTTGGTCCAGAAGCAAGGTCACTAACCACTGGACTACGCATGCTATTTACACTGCAGATTGGGGATCTCTAAAGCTTTGGTCACAACCCGCCGTACGTGCTTCTGCGTGCTGTCTACGTGTAAAAACGTGGGCAAACGCAGGGCATCTGTGCGTGGTGAGTACCATCTCCGTACGGAATCCTACGGATTTGGGAGCACGCAGACACGCCGTAGAACTTGCATGTAAAACTTTTTCTACATGCGGCCTGCGGATTCACCACCCGTGCATGTGAGTACGGGTGACGCGTGTGCCCCGTACGTGCCGTACGTAAGACGCACATGTGAGTATGACCTCCTTACGGTAAAGTTGCAATCGCACAGAGATTGTCACTTACCACTTGCGCAACGTATGATGCACGCAACCGCACTCCTTTCCCACGTTTTCAGCAAAAATGTAGCAGACGTAGCCTCCCAAAAAACGTACGGACAAAAAGCACGTACGGCGGGTTGTGACCGAGGCTTAACACTGACCTGCATGTCACCGTAGACACTGAGTGATGGCTTCCTCCATCGACGAATCAGCAGTGCTAACACACACAGCATGACCACGCCCAGTACTGACCCTACCACTGCACCCACTATCACCATGGTGTCTGGGGATGGAAAAAGAAGACACGGAGGAATGAGCAAATGACAGAATGAACTCATGATGTTACGTCACGGAAGTGGTAGATTGCTCATTCCTTGACAAAGACAGGAGTTGTACGGGCAAAAATTTGGGTACACAAGTCCAATCTCTTGTGTTGGAAATTACAGTTTAAACTGCTTCATGATGACTTGTACATGTGTACCAACACAGATAAACTTTCCCGATAAGAAAGAACTCTTGCAAATCATGAAATAATCAGTAGCTCTCATGACTGGTAGATATGAAAAACAAAGTTAAACGTGTTTAAAGTTAAAACTTTTGGTCCAACACAAAAAATTCTCTCACCTAGAGCTTTTAACCAGTCACTCTGGTCTTCCTCAGTAGACTGACCCAGTGAAGCTTGTCACGTGGCTTCTTTTAAGTGTCTACCTTTGACTCAGTGTTGATGCCACACTTCAAAGAAGCCACGTGAAAAGTCTCACTGGGTCAGTCTACTGAGGAAGACCAGAGTGACCAGGAAGACCATGTTCTTCTACATACATGTACATGTAGTTGTAATCAATGTTGAAGTGAATCTTGAATCAAAACTGTAACTTACTGTGCTTGCTGTCTGCAGAATGCTTCCTGCTTGCTGTTCCTGTCATACAAAGGAGACGGGAAGAACAGAAAGTTTCAGACTAAATTCTTAAGAAATGAAGTTATTTTGGCCCAGACTTCATGTTGGATATCTCATCGGGTGTCAAAGATATTACCGTTATGAATGTAAACCAAGCAGATGTCAGGAAGGAGAGACTGGCCCAATGGAACAAGTAGAGAACCAGTTCTTTACCGCACACTATGTCTTGTCTCATTAGTATATATATATATAGTCTAATTCAAGTCTATTGGGCCACACTAATTTAATTTCTTGGTTAACGGATTTTTCTATAAAACAATGGAGCAGGTGGGCGAAAAAAAATAAAAACAGGCCAAGGCATCCTATTATGGCTCAAAATGGTACGATAGGAGCAATGAAGTCAACACACCAGGCTGGTTCAAAATTTAAACAATGAATTTTTAATGATACCACTGCATTGAAAGATTACTGTAAAAACTAGGATTGTAGGAAGAAAAAAACTGCTTTCAACTGTTCAGGGCAAAATATGAGCACTTTGCAGTTGATTCTGAATTTTTTTTGCAGATCAGAAAAAATGAATCGGGCAAATCCGTTAACCAAGAAATTAAATTGGTGTGGCCTTGATTCAAAATAACAACTTAGTGAAGAAAAAGTAACACTGCTCTCAAGTTGTGGAACTTATTTTCACAAAAACTACCATGTGGATGTGCTTACCTGAGGGACATGGAGGCATGCTGACTGTCTGTTCCCCTAGCTGGAAGAAACTGTACTGCACCGGTCCATTACTCAGACCTAGAACCAACTGAAAAAACACAAAACAACAAATCAAACTGGTGTGGCCGTATCAATCTTATTGTAAATGATAATTATCATATGGATGGGTGACGTTGACCAATCAGAAGGCTCCATTCCATAATCCTTATGACGCCGTAATGTCACAAATAGAGTCAAAACCGGGTCTTTATTCATCCCGATCCATACATTAAACATCCAATAATCACCCGCATATGACCTCAGGTGACCCAAATAGAACACCGCTCTGTTCTAAAAAATCCAAAAATAACTTGAGTTGTGTTCCAATGACCTCGGGTGACTCCCATAAGAACACGTGTTCCCTGCCTTTGACCCAAATAGAACATGAACCTTCCCCAGTGACCTCAGGTGACTCCAGATATAAATAAGAACAGGTGTACCCACCTTTACATCCATGCCATTGTTGAGCCTGACCATGTTGACCTGGTACACACCAGGCAGGGTGTACCCAGCTATGGGCACCTCCAGACCTGAGGGAACAACAAAAACTGGGTAAGAATGGGAGTCTTGTGCATCGGAGGTTAGACATCCAGGTAATAAGATACGCCAAAAACAATAATACTCAAGCAACTACAGTCAAACCTGTCCAAGCCGGCCACCCAGGGGACAGAATAAAAGTGGCCACCTTGGACAGGTGGTCTCCTTGAAGAGGGTCACCTCACAACATCACTGAGACATAAATGGTTTCCAAGTCGAGATATTTTTATGTCAAATGCCGTAAGCATCTTCAGTTCTGTGGTGAATGCATGTGGGGAGGGTGGCACATGGAACAATTTTGTTGAACAAAAACATCATTTAGCAGTCAAGGCAAACTGGCTTTGTCCATCTCAACCAACACAAAAGGCGTAAGAAGTAACCAGAGAAATAGAAAAGAAAGAAGTAGAGTTTTGCATGTTACAGACCTTGTATTGTGTAGGTGCCGTTGTGTGTGAGAGTTTGAGTGTGGTCCAGTCCGATGTCTCCTGACTTGATGTTGACATCCATGGAGACGGGGTCAGCACAGCCATGTAGAGTCACGTCCATCGTAAACTTTACGTCCTGCAAGAACAGCCAAACTATCATTTTATCTCAAATTGTACCCTCTATAGCAATGAACGAAACAAACTCTTTGATGTAGCCTCCAAATTCTACCCAAACTTTCACACATACACAAATGATAACTACTTTCCTCTTTACATCCGAAAACCCACAAATTACAGAAAAAGTGGGATCCTTTGTCTTCCTCTGTCTTCAAAAAAGAAGTCAAACCCAGTAGTTTTTACTAGTACATGTAGTTACTTAGTAGTTTAACTTATTAGTAGTTCTATGCATACTAGTTGTCTGTTTTTATACCAAATGTCTGTTATGTTCCTGCAATAAGCCCTTGGGCATTAATTTGCAATAAAACAATTACTATCACCAAGTTAGTATCAGAGATAGCAGACTTCACCCCCTTACCATACTTCAAAGAGGCAGCCTTGCTGGTAGCTTTTTGTGACCCTAAGAGCTTGAAGCTCATTCTAGGCATTTCTACCTTTTTCCTAAAGCCATGTCAACTTACATGTATTTCCTTGATTTTGCAATTTGACTGCGGACAAAAATACAGTCAAACATGCCCAAGGGGCCCCCGCCTCGTTTTTTGTGATCACAGAATTTTTTTCATAGGCACAAACATAACCGATCTGCCCAGAATGAATTGTAAGGCTACACCAATTTAATTTGTTGGTTCTCGGATATTTTCAGAAAAACGGGAAAAAATAATAAAAAATAGGTCTAGGCATCCTATTATAGCCCCAAACGCTACGATAGGAGCCATGAAAACAACACAAAAGGCTGGGTTAATATTTAAACAATGAATTTTGAACTTTTAATCATAAATGGAAAAACTCTAACAACTAGGAAGAAAAGGACTCAACTATTGGGGGCCAAGTATGAGCATTTTTTATTTGATTCAGAACCGTGATCTTTTTTTTTTTTTTGGCAAATCAGAAAAAAATGAAGAGGCGAATCTGAGAACCAACAAATTAAATTGGTGTGGCCTTATATACACAATTTGAATGACCCAACACTGAAAAACCTCAATGCTATACCATGACATGAATGAATTCAGGTGTTCTACTGCACTCACTGATTGTGTTTTGGCTGAACATTTCACCCCGGTACAGTCGGCGTTCCTTGTGCACCTGATGGTAGCCAGTGTGGGCATGAGGGACGTCACATTGGCGGCCAGCTGGTCTATGGACCTGCACTGCCCGTTTGGATCAACAGGGGGCAGCGCAGGACTGGTGGGCGATGCTTGCGATGTTGTGTCCTGTGTATCAATAGGCAAATAATTAGAAACTAGAAAAATAACATTTGCAAAGCAAGCGCATAATGTTAACCTTCGCATATGGTCTGCTCTGTTAATTATTCCACAAACACATTCATATAATTTATATGGTCAGACAGGAGTTTAAATCCCTCCTGCTATAAAATTGCAACATGGTGTAACCCAACACTAGTTACCATGGTGACAGACGTCTGGTTCAGGTCATTGACCTTTATTTGTTTGGAGAAGAAGAAGAAGAAGAAGGAAACAGAGCAAAAACAATATGTTTTCCTTTGGTAAACACAAATATCATGTATTCTGATACAGTCAGCAATTTTATGACTCTAAGGCATCAGTCTTTGTCAACTAATTACTGTGTACTTAATCATTCAGTGTGTCTATAAGAGTATAATGTCATTTTTGGTTGCTTACTAACTCAGTGACCAACAGCAAACAATTACACTGTACATGTGTACATGTATATTAGATATCCATAACATGGTACATTTCTCCGAGATCAAGATGTACAGTCGACATCAAAAATTTGGAGGTACGTGTTTCTACCATTGAAAAACAGTCACTGATTGAAGAATATTCCTACTAAGGCCACACCAATTTATTTCCTTGGTTAACGGATTCGCCGCTTCGTTTTTTTGCCAAAATGAAATAAAAATAAAAACAGAACAAAAATCCATACTCTCGGGTCCCGAATTGGGGGCCCCAAAATCCACCCGGTACGTTGTAATTTTTCAAAATTTGGGCATAGTTAACAGCATTAAAAATACATTGCTTTAAGGCAGAAACATTTTCCTGAGTGCAATTTGTTTGGAAAGCTAGGTTGCCTCTTCAAAAGTTCGTCAAATTCTTTTGATATAGAACTCGCCCCCCACCCCCTTTGCACATGTCATGTCACCATTCATGGGACAAAACTTCACGGACGACAAACGTACGGCAGATTTACTGAGTCATCGTGCCTGTAACAACATATCATCTCCCTTTTAGATATATATTATATTTTGAAACACGTATTGTGTCGGAAACGTGCTAGTAAAGGGCGTTAAAAGTGATCGGCCCAACGTATAAACTCGGCCTGGGCGGCACATGCACACACACCTTCAAAACGATCTATTTTCCAGGGAATATGTAAAAATAACATGACATAACAATGTATTCTGGCATCACAAACTGTATTACTCCCAAAAAGTACAAAATCCTACCACAAACATGGGAATTTCGCAAAGTAAAAAGTCCTCCATGCACATGCACGTATGTCCATTCACTAAAGCAACTTTTTCTCACGATCGGAAGAGTCCACTTCGAGTAGGGGGAAACAGGTCCTTTTAATTATAGAAGTTACTCTGTGAAAAATACTACATGTGCTTGTGGCATTCTAACAATGTTACATCTTATTTAGATACCTATAAACAGGAGTACAATTACAAATAATGCATTAATTATTATATCTAAATTTTTGAATAAAATGGTTCCCCCTACAAATAAAAAATCCCCATACATCAAGGACTTTATAGTGAAACCCTAGACCATTGAATTTGTGGCAACTTGAAGAGTGTGTCATTGTGGCTATTTGTTTGAATTTTGGCTATGTATAATGTAGCTGTAGCATACCTAAAGTGTATAATGGGAAATATAAAATGGATACTACCGGTAGTATTTGGGAATTGGGGAAAGATAAAAAAAAAAGATATAAAATATCTGTTTAAGTAGTTAATTCTTTTGACAATAACTTTTAAACATTCCTGGAAATTTGTCTAAAACATATATTTAGGATATTGTAAATTTCAAGCTCTAAATAACTTCCATATCAGCCAGACACAATAGAATGCCCAGCCCAGTGGTAAGCTGTGTTCCCTCAACTCTAAGAAAACAATGGGATCTGAACAGAGCTCCCTGATTTAAACCACTCTTTGGAACTTTGAAAGATGAATAAAAGTGAAACCAGTTGGATCAGAGTCTTGTCAACTGACAGTTTGTTGTTCATACAGTAAAGATGTGTATCTTGCAAAATAATACGAATAATTGTAAAGGGATGTAAAAGAAGTTGCTCATGTAGTAATGGTCCTTTCAGTTTAATAAGTGTCCAATATAATGTCTTATATCATTTTGTAACTTAACTTAATGCATTGCTTACTACATGGCTGTATGGCAGGTAGTCTCAAATTTTTATTTTTATTTTTTTTTCGCCCGCCCGCTCCATTTTTTTTCTTGAAAAATCCGTTAACCAAGAAATTAAATTGGTGTGGCCTAACTGTTACTTTTAAGTAACTGATGAACTTCTTGAGCAATAAAAGTTTTGAATACTTACTGGAGCTGGAGTTGTTACAGCAGGTTTTGGTTGAACAGTGGGTCTGACTGGAGGCTGTGGGTGTACTGTGGGCCTGACTGGGGGTTGTGGGTGTACAGAGGGTCTGACAGGGGGTTGTGGGTATACTGTTGTCCGTGGAGGCTGGGGTGGTTTTGTGGCCGGTCGTACAGGCTCGGGCGTTGGGTGACCTGTGGGATGGATTGTCAACAATTTTTAAACACTTTTTCACACATTTTTAAACATTTCTTCACACAATTTCACACATATTTTACACACTTTTTCACATATGCTGGTGTCCCCTCTGGTATATTTCCTGATGTGGGTAACTTTAATTTCTGAAAGTTGCTGACCTGCACCAGTACAAGAAGTCTAAAGCTGATCGATACTTCACTGATGGATGGCTGTCAATCTCACCCGAATCTGATATCTGAGAGCAGAATGCAGACAATCACAGTGATCTGCCAGGGGGGACACCGTAAGCGAAAGCACATTGACTTCAGGGCTCTAGAACAGTGTTATATTTGAAAGGTCCCCTCTGTGACGTCTATTGCTTCAGGAACATTACTAACCTGGGGTACAAGAGGGGACAGAGATGTCCTGTTCTGGGATGACATCATACTCCAGAGGGTAAACCATCATACCAAAGATTTCTGTTCCTCCCAAAAGTTTCACCTGGAAAGGAAAGAAGAATTCATCAATCATAATACAACACAACATGAGATTAATCAACCTTCCTGTCATATTCTTATACAAATGTATTGATACTGGAAAGGATACAGAACATGTACATGTATGTAAGAACAGTGTAGAGACAAATAGGCACTAATAAGTTTTTTTCAGTATGCTGCCACATAGCTGTTTCATCCAGTAGTCACAAACTATAACTTCAATATACAGCAATCCATTTTTTCACTGCACTGCAAAAATTAATAGCTACAAACTAAAATTAATGTACAGTATGAGTGTAAGATATGATAATTGGAATTCTAAAAATATGAGATTGTGGGAAAAAGTGTTACCCCGATGGACAAAGTGTCCTCATCCTTCTTCTCCAGCTTGACTTGTAGATACCCCTGTATGTGCTCCTGGATCCCCAGCACAGGAAAATCACCACTTAACCCTGCAAACACAAACATACAAGCATCACAATCTGTATCTGTATCTGCAACATGTCTTTAACATTAAAAAAGCTTCAATCATCCAGAATGAGTGCTCCCAGGGCTAGGACAAAGCGGCTCCAGCAGTCCTTTCTCCATAGGGCCATAGCCCTATACAACAAAGAACTGACGTATCACTAGTTTTATTTTTCCTAAACCTCATCTGTATATAGTTTTTTGCTTGGTACAAATTCTTTATGTATTATAGTGTATATGAGGGTGTGTATATAGTGTTTGTTTTGCCTATTGTAACTTTTATTTTCTGTACGCAAACTCTTTCAATTCAGGGATTCTCATCCCTGCTGCAAGGTTTGCTTTTGGTGTTGAAATAAACTATCTCTAAATACTGTCAATTTGACTTTGAGAACTTTTATCAGAACTTTTATCAGGGCTTGAAATTCATTTTTGGGAATAGGTGCACTGGTGCACCCAACCTTAAAAAATAGGTGCACACAATTTTTTGGGTGCACCATATAAAACAAAACCTAATTACAGATCTTACTGCTCCTCCTCTGAGCTTGAGTTTGAAATGGGAGCTAACTTCAAAATCTTACACAAGTACTTCAACAAAGATTTTATTATTTTTCTGACACTTCAATGCCAAGAATATCCTGTACACTCTTAAACATTTAATATGTACAAAAATACCTACAAATATATTTGGGTGCACCAGTGCACCCACAGAAAAAAATTGGGTGCACAGCTCCAAATTTGGGTGCACTAAGGTGCACATGCACCCAGTATTTCGAGCCCGGGAAGAGCATAATAATTATGTACATGTACATGTCTATTGTTCTGACCTGGTATCTCATACATGTCGTTGTGCTGGATAGTCTGGTGGTAGTTGACACCTAAAGATGGCACCACCACGTTCACACTCATGCTGACAGGGGAGCTGCAGTGTTGGAGACTGGCTGAGGTTGTGAACTCCGTACCAGCCTGGAGGGGGGATAGGGGGTTATGTATAAGTTTTTATTATGTTTAGGCCATGTTGATTTGATGATATGGATGACATCCTCTGGGAACCCCAAAACTGATGCGAGCATGTGAATAAAAAAAAAAGTTTGACAGAATGGTATGGTGAACAATCTACTCTTCAAATTCATTTTCTTACATTTTTGTCTTTTTCGTTTGATTTTGCCATTCTACGACATTGGTATCTTTTTCAAATATTTCTTTACAACAATACAAGGGATACAGAATACACTTCAAATGAAAGGTATCCTTAGCCTCTACCAGGCTTTGTGAGGTGGCTGGAAAGAGTAGAAATTGGCCAAATAGAGAGACAGCATGCCAGGGGAGTTGGTCTGCTGGAGAGAATAGTTTGCCGCTCCCGAAGCCTGTGCAGAGTTGCTATGATCAAATGGTATAAAAGTATTCCCCTCATTATTCCAACAAAAGAACTATCTCAGTGCAGAAGATCATTTAAGCAATAAACCAACCAGTGCATCGTGGGGAAACATGCTTGGTATGATCTTTAATAGTATTATTATATGGGGTTCTCTTTTCTCTAAGTTTTGTGTTTATTTTGACGGGAAAACGTATGGACATTTTCGTGACTTCTGAGACTTTCTGTTAAATGTTCACACCGCCATTCATGTCACTGTCCGTCACGGCCCAGTCGCAAAGCAATTAAAAGGATAATCTAGCTACTTGGCACCTATGAGATTGTGATTAGTGAACTTCAAAGAATGTAGCGACCCCCGACAGGCTTCGGGTGTGGCAAAATGTACTGTCTAGCCGACCAAACTCCCTTGGCATGTTATCTCTCTATTTGACCGGTCTCTACTCTTTCCAGCCTCCTCCCAAAGCCTGGTAGAGGCTATTGTATCCTTACCAGAGCAGTCCCAGTGCAGGCTATCCCTGTGCAGCTATCATTGCGATGACAGTGGATGGTCCCGCCTGGGGGGGACCGGATCTGACTGATAATGTTGTCCAGAGAAGTGCATTCTGGGTTGGCAGGCAATGCAAGGTACCCTGGGGGAAAAATATTGAATCTTTATTTGCAAGTCCATGCCAGCTTTTCATGCACATGGGGCTGAATGCATACATCACAGAATACGATGTTACATGTATATTATACTGAGTAACATAGTACATGGGATAGAAAAGAATAACGTAAAAGTCTTAACAACTACAGTACTACTAGAGAATACATTCTATCTAATCTAGGTCTTGAAGATTTCTTCTCTCCTTTTAAAGAAAATGGAGATGAATTCACAATTAATAGTTTTTCGAAATTCTATTGTGTGTTCATTATAATATTGGTAGACATAAGATGACTGAATATCTCTTTCTTTGTTCTACTATTAATAGAGAGTTTTGGATTGCAATTGCTGGATACGTAACTTTCATTAATAAATGGTACTTACAGACTAGCTACCAATACTAGCTGTATAACAGTATACTGTAATTTACTTTATGTTCACGGTACCAAAAGTTCATGGTCAGAGAAAAATGGACATGTTCCCGGAAGTATATATTCGCGGTGGTGACAGATGCAGGAAAAAGAAAGTCCTGGAATTATTTGTTAACTATAATGATAAGTTCACGGTACAGAAGTGACAGTGAAAACTGTGGACATTATACTTTTATAGTAACGTTACCATAAAAAATAAGGAATTACAGTATACAGAGCTACTGGAAAGGGTAGCAGTCCGTTAAGCTGTGGTCTACTGTTCATTGTGTTTGTAAAAAAATGCTTTTAATGGAATTTCTCTGGTACAGTAACGTTAATTAAGCCTATAACTTTATTTAAATTATATATACTGTACTGTACAAAGCATCTGTCTTCTCTGTCATGGCCAGTGTTAAATTGAGCTAAAACTGGATCGAAAAATCACTTTTTCCCTTCTTAATAAACATTTATTTTAAGCCTATCTCTGGTTTTTAAAGTTTGCTAAGTTGTGTAAAGGTACTAGTAGTTTGTCAACACACACTATCTCTGGTTTCGAAAGTTTGCAAACATAGTGTGTTAAGTTAACATAGTTGGTAAACACTTCAGACATTGTAAATATACTGTCTTACGTCTGTAAACATATTTTATAAGCACTCTTGTTACCATCAGGTAATATATTATGTCTATATAACGAGGTTATCTAGTTGCGTGCCCTCTCTGCCTGGTACGTAAGTCGACAGGCGGCCATTTAAAATTTATACCTCCACAGGGCTCGAAATACTGGGTGCATGTGCACCCAAAATTGGAGCTGTGCACCCAATTGTTTTCTGTGGGTGCACTGGTACACCCAAATATTTTGTAGGTATTTTTGTACATATTAGATGTAAATAATATACAGGATATTCTTGGCATCTAACGTTAAGTGTCAGAAAATAATAAAATCATGTTGGGATTGCGCAATAGGCGTAATTCCCGGGGATTGCACTGGAGATTGAGGAGTTGGGTCGCCCCCCTCTAAGGGGAAGCCAGGGGCGCATGCGCATTAGCCTGTTCATTTTCCAACCGAAAGGGAGCAGCCATTTTCGGTCCTTTAGCAATCTTCTGTCTTCCGAACCATGTGGGGCGCTGGAAAGCGTAAGACCCGTAAACCAGCCCGATTCAGCGACTTCACGGACGACCCGGACTTGGCTGACGACTTCTCTCATGACTCCGACGCGCTGTCGGCCCATTCTTCGCGTCACAGTCGGTCGGGACTCCAGGAGCACATGGAGCGTGAGCTCCAAAACATGAGCAAAGACTTGGAGGAACTGAAGCTGGACATCCAGCGCACAAAGGACGACCGTACGACGCCCAAAGAACCGCTGGCACGGCAGTCTTCAGGTCGCAAGAGGTCGTCTTCTCCCTCCTCGCAGCGTTTATCGAGGATTTCGGCCGCCGTGCTGAGAGATTTTCGAAAGATGGCAGGTGACGTCACGAAGCGTGCCAATAGCTCTCCGCCCCCCTCCCACAGGTCCCGACGCCCGTCTCGGAAGTTGCACAGCTCCCCGGAGTTCTCGTCTACGTCCTCATCTTCGGACAGGAGTGTGTCTTCTGACACGAGTTATGGAGGTAAGCCTTCTCGCTCTCGATCTAGTAAGAAGAAGAAGTCGATGAAGAGCGGCTTACATAGAAAGGCAACAGATAGTGTGAAATGCCGAGTCATATATCCGCAAGAACGCCTGCCCGTCACGGAGGCAGGGGCTGTGAAGTACCATGATATGGAATGGCACCAGTTTCTGTACGGCTCTATGGATATCATTATATCAGCTGATGTGTCGAGGGCTGAGCGTAAACAACGCCAGAAGATCCTGAGATTCCTCATGCTTGAGGTACCAGAGTTCGGGTACAAGTCCATCCTTGACTTCAACGCTCACATCTTTGGGATGGTAGAGAGAAAGGAACTGCACTGGACGGACAGGAAATTCATGAAAAAGGTCCAGGCGATGAAATCACAGCATTTACGGCGGCCGTTCGAGCACAAGGGTGGATCAAACAGTTCAAATCAATCTCAGAGAAGATACCTGCCAATGACATGCAAGGACTATAACAAGGGGGCATGTGAAGCCAGTCCTGATGCTAAACGGGCACATAGGAACAGCACTGGCCAAACCGTTTACCACTTCTGCCGGCCTTGCATCATCATGCGACAATCACGACAGGAGCACCCGGCCACACAGTGTCCCTACGGCGACCCGGCATACAGGGCTAAGCACACGCCCCCTGCCGGCCAGACAGCATGACTAGCTCCACCATCAGCCGAGTCTGCTAGCCTACTGACCGCACGATTTATGGACATGAATTCGGACTTCCCTTCTCCTGTATTGGCTGATGACCTTGACCTATGCCCATGGGCCGTACCTTGCCGTCCTGAGACTATAGCTACACGCTCCTTCCCATCCGATCTGGAGCTTCTAGACTTTCCCGATGATATGCAAATTCCTAGTTTATGGCCAGATCCGTACCACACGCTGCCTCCGTCGTTACCAGCAGAGAGCATGTCGCCCCCCGTGCCTTTCCCAGGCGTATCGCACACCGTAGCACCGCTCCCACACGGTGCCCAGTCCTGTCCCGTTGCATCGCTCCCATGCGGTCGCCAGGACTGCTCCGTAGTACCGTCCCCAGGCGGTGACCCGCCCCGTTCCGTGACATCGCGCTCCTGTGGTGATGAGCCGTGCGCTTACAGCAACTCTTCTCCGTCAGTTCGTCAGGGTGATTCCGGCTGCCCTTCAAGCACGTCCACTGAATCAGAAACACTCTCTCACCCACCCGACCAGACAGTCCCAAATGCGGCCATCGTGGACAGCTCCACCTTCCGAGATCTGCATATCACAGTGGAGGCTTCCGGACAGTATAATTTCCAATCATGCAGGATCCCAGTCCCTTCTAAGTTGAAGGTCCCGGTCTGGCGCCAGCTTTTACAGGACTACCCAGACAAAGAGATCTGTGATTTCTTGGACTTCGGATGGCCTATCGGTTATGTGCTTGATACAACGCCCACCCCGACCTCCCGCAATCATAGGTCAGCCGTGCTGTTCCCTGCAGATGTCGACAGGTATTTAAGGGTTGAAATGGCCTTCGGCGCTATACAGGGCCCTTTCTCGAATCCCCCATTCTCACCTTCCTTTATGACGTCACCGCTGCAGACTGTTCCCAAGAAAGAGTCAATGCATCGCCGCGTCGTCGTTGATCTCAGCTTTCCGGCGGGAGGGTCAGTAAATGATGGAATACCCCCACAGCATTACCTTGGAGAACATTTGGCAATCCCTCTACCAGGCCACTCCGCCTTCGAGCGTTTAATCCGTGACAAAGGGCAGGGCTGTCTACTCTTCAAGAGGGACTTGAGTCGTGCCTATCGCCAAAATACCAGTTGACCCCAAAGACTACAATCTACTGGGTTTTCAGTGGGATGACCAATACTACTTTGACACTGTGTTTCCCTTTGGCCTGCGCTCCGCCAGTATGGCCTGCCAGCGGACAACTTCAGCAGTGCGGTACATCTACAATGCCCGAGGATTTGACTGTGTCAACTATATTGACGACTTCGGCTCCGCCGAGTTTACAGACCAGGCTGATACAGCTTTTCATGAATTGGCTAGGGTATTCACTGAACTGGGTATTCAAGAATCCCCAGAGAAGGCCTGTCCACCATCCACATACCTAGTGTTTCTTGGCGTTGGTTACGACTCTGTAACCATGACAAAGTCAGTCACTCCCGAAAGGGTGGACGACACCCTTGCAGAGCTCCGAGTTTGGATTGGCCGGAAACGGGCTCGCAAAAAACAGATCCAGTCCTTGCTCGGGAAGTTAATGTTCATCACAGTGTGTGTTCCTCAGGGTCGAGTGTTTCTGAATCGGATGATCAACGCCCTGAAAAGGCTTGAAGCGACATCATCACATGATCAGATTGAACTTGGACTTCAGAAAGGACATCAACTGGTGGGCCAGTTTCCTGCCCGAGTTCAACGGAGTGCGTCTGATCCCCATGTCACCGTGGTGCCCCCGGGCGAAGTGTTCGCCACAGATGCCTGCCTGTCCGGATGTGGTGGCATTGCAGGTCACCGGTTCTTTCACCGACAGTTTCCCCCGTGTATCACCCAACAAGATCTACCTATTCATTGTCTCGAGCTGCTAACGGTGATTGTCTCGTGCAAACTGTGGGCTTCCGCGTGGGCGGGCAAGAGACTGATGCTTGCCTGCGACAATGAGGCTTCCGTACACGTCATTAACTCTGGCCGTGCTTCAGATCCGTTCTTCCAGGAGTGTGCGCGGGAGTTGGTGTACCTACAAGCAATCTACGACTTTCAGCTGGCAGCACAACATATACCAGGCGACCAGAACACTATCCCTGACTGGTTGAGTAGGTGGCACCTGCACCCATCTTATGCACGAAGGTTCAGCGCCGCCGTACTGATCGCAGAATGTGTAGAAGACGAGGTGCTGGACGAGATGTTCAAATTTACTCATGTCTGGTAATTTGTGTTTCCCCCAGGCGCACGACTACAGTGGCACCTTCTCGAGATAGACACGAGAGCGACCCAGGCTGCGGTTTTCAACATCAGCACCGCTCGCAACCATCAGACCCACATCAACACCTACCTGGATTTCTGCAAGTATTTCCACCTCACTCCCATGCCCGCTTCCGCGCACCAAATTGCGTGTTACGCACAGTTCCTCTCCCGCACACTCCGTTCGCCTGACTCAATCTCACACTACATGTCTACCGTCAAACTACTTCACCGCATGAACGGATTTACCGACTACACTCTCCAGCATTTCGAAATCACACACACAATGAAAGGACTCCGGAAGAAGTTGCAACACCGCCCGCGTCAGCATACCTTGGTGGACGTGGCCTTACTGACGCGTCTGCATGGCTGTTTCAATCATGACACCCAAAAAGATGCCGCAGTCTGGGCTGCTCTGCTCTTCTGCTTCTTCACCTTCTTCCGCCGCTCCAACGTTGTCCTCGACTCCAAGACGTCGTTCGATCCGAAACGTCATCTCCAACGCAAGGACGTACTGACGTCCCCCTCTGGTCTACTAGTCTATACCAAGTGGTCCAAGACTCTGCAGCACCGTGAACGTGTTCTACAAATTCCCTTGGTCCCAATACCAGACTCCGTCCTATGCCCAGTCTCTGCATATCAACACATGTGCACTTTAATCCCCGCGTCTCCTGATTCACCAGCCTTCGTCCTGCCAAGTTCGACAAACACTGCTCGCCCGCTGACCACTTCCGTCCTGGAGAAGGCTCTAGCCAAGGCTATCAAGGCCCTGGCCCTCCCCAAGGGTGCAGTCACCCTCCACGATCTGCGCAGGGGTGGGTACACCCTCGCCTTCCAGGCGGGCGTTCCGAGAGAGCTACGTCAGCTCCACGGGGACTGGAAATCAGATGCAGACCATCTCTACCTGACGGCCAACATCCGCGATCGCCTGAAGCTACCATCTGCTCTGAGGGACTACATCCTCCGACATACGAGCACATGAACTCTCTATGAATGAGGACTCTTGGCACATGTTCACTGTTATTATGTAACTGATGTTAACGGGCCGAGCTCCTTAACGCTACGGAGCCGACTGTTCCTCATGTAACTATGTTCGATTTCAGTATTTAGGAAATGTAGATCTTAAGACATAGAGACGTTTGTTCTTTCCTAGTTTCCCCCTTTAACTTAGTTACAACCCTTGTTCTTCTAATGTTGCACGCGTTGACCCAGATGTATTACAGCCTGGTATGTTTCCTCGTTTATCTAGTTGTTGCCGCAAACCGTTAAGCTCCACTTGCTTTATGTCAGATTTTCCAGCAATATCCTGTATGTAACTCCGAGCACTTCATCCACTAGTTAGTTAGCAAGTTGGCTAGTTTGTTAGTTAGTCTATAGCACTAGTTGTTTAGTTCCCATGTGTTGGGTGGGCGGTTCCTCTCCTCTCCTCATACCTTCCTGCTTTGGCCGTCTCGCTCTCTCGACCCTGGCGCTCAGAGGTCTTTTTCTCCTTACATCGATTAAAAGCTCTGAATTCGGCCAAATGCAGGTCTCAGTCTCTCTCTTTTAAGTGTAATCATGTTGGGATTGCGCAATAGGCGTAATTCCCGGGGATTGCACTGGAGATTGAGGAGTTGGGTCGCCCCCCTCTAAGGGGAAGCCAGGGGCGCATGCGCATTAGCCTGTTCATTTTCCAACCGAAAGGGAGCAGCCATTTTCGGTCCTTTAGCAACCCACCCTCCCTCCCACAATGCAACAGGCTCAGCATTTGCGCCAATGGCTTTCTCTCCACACATGGCGCTCAGAGGTCTTTTTCTCCTTACATCGATTAAAAGCTCTGAATTCGGCCAAATGCAGGTCTCAGTCTCTCTCTTTTAAGTGTAATCTTTGTTGTACTAGTACTTGTGTAAGATGTTGAAGTTAGCTCCCATTTCAGATTCAAGCTCAGAAGAGGAGCAGTAAGATCTGTAATTAGGTTCTGTTTTATACGGTGCACCCAAAAATTTTTTGTGCACCTAAGTTTTTAGGTTGGGTGCACCAGTGCACCTATTCCCAAAAAATTATGAATATTTTCGAGTCCTGAACTCCAACTCTAGATGCGTCACAGTATAAACACAGCATATCCGCAGATATAAAACTATTTTCAGCGAATGAGATATATTGCCTAAAACACCTGACGTATGGCATGAAAAAAAGTGAACCTAAAATGCCTTAACATACTGTGTTTATCAAAGTTTACAAAGACTAGTTTTTCTACTAAGACATCATGTTGCGTTGTGTTAAATTTTTGGACTGCCTGCCCCCCTCCCACACTCAGAACGTTGCAGCTGTCAACTGTACAGATAGGAGGTGGCCTAAACTCTTCACTTACCTTGTAGAGTAAGCAACAGCAATACGGCACAAGTAGAACCCGTCTGCATGTTTGTGTGGTTAGGATATGGTCCGTTTTGTTGGATATTTTGGGCTTCTACAGTTCTCCGTAAGCCTTTCGCTGCTGATTTTGTTATGGTAATTATGCAGAACGTGCCATTCTTGTTGGGGGGTGCTAGGAGAAAAGTAAAAAAAAAATACCAGGATGTGTAGTCAGGTCAAGGTGTTGGATGTATTTAATAAGTAACGAAATACTTTATTTTTTTGTACAAAATCAGCAAAATATTTACAGGTTTGTTAAAAAAAGTAAAGTTGTATTGTTTTCACCGGTGCCGTGGGGAGCTGCCATGTTGGATTATGACGTCATGCAGGCGCCATCTTGTTTCCATGCTTCTGTACATGCTTCTGTCAGAATTACTAGTATCCAAGGACTATCTGATATGCTTTTGATTAACAATGGTTTGTTTCTTTAAGTGAAGAAAAAACGAATAAGACTTACTCTTTGGACAGAATATATGTGATTACTTCACGTAACATTGACATATAAGTCTTGAAGTTAAACTTATATCATAGCAAATCTTGATTAAACAATGTAGTTAGCCTTTTAAAAATCATTGATCATTAAACTTAGTGTGGCCCATGAGTTTAGTTCAGTTCAGTTCTGTTCTGTTCTGTTCATAGAGAGAGTTTCTATATAATAGCATTGTTTTATTGCCATGAAATGCCATGATTGACGAGATGGGCCGCATGTCTAGGTGGCCTCAACTGGTCTAACTTTTGCAGTAGCAGTTCAGGAGTCGGCCGCTTTGAGGGGTCTACTATCCAGCAGGACCTGATGATGCGGTACACCGGCAGCGGACAGTTCTCCGGCTGCTGCAGACGGACGCCTTTCTTCAGCAGAGCCAACATCGTGCAGACGTCCGGGTGCATGGGGCCTCCAGCGTAGCGCGGCTCTTCCCCGAAGCTGGCGATCTCCCACAGCAGCACGCCGTACGACCACACGTCACTCTCACACGTGTACACCCCGTCCCGTAACGACTCCACGGCCATCCACTTCAGCGGCAACAGCTCCTCCTCCCCGCCCTGGTTCGTGCGTTCGTACGCCGACGACACGTAGACGTCGCGCGATAGTCCGAAATCCGCGATCTTAGCCACTTTTCTGTCGCTGATGACGACGTTACGGGCTGCGATGTCTCTGTGGACGATCTTCAGACGTGCCAGCTCTTCTAACCCACTGGCCACGCCAGAAGCAAAACCGAGACGTTCTAACAGTTTCCTTTGTCCTGTGACTTTGAGTTGTTCTCTCAAACCCCACAGGTACCGACGCAGTTCCTCATTGGCCGCGTACTCTACAACAATGTACTGTGGGTCGGATTTAGTCAGAACTCCGTAAAACTTCACCACGTTCAGATGCCCCTCTTTGTCCTCGTGGATTCTCGCGAGGATGCCCATTTCTCGGCGAAAGTCGCGGACTGCAGACGGCGTCTTGCGGTCAGGCCGGAGACTTTTGGCGGCAACCAGAACCTCGTAGCCCGCCGGCACGCGCAGTCTTCCCCGTACCACATGGCCGAACTCTCCCTCCCCGATCATGTGCTCCAAACTGATGTCCTCTTTCTCTATCTCCCACGACGAGAGGGCCTCCATTTCTATGTCCACTATGTTCACTGTATGTAGGACACTTCGATTTTTCAGCCTGTGTTTTGCCAGGAGCACAATTATGATGCTGCCAACCATAACCATAGAAGGAAGACTGGAAGCTAATACTATAACAACGACTTGGTTATTTTCAAATTTGGGGACGTACTCACAATATTCGCCTGACTGCCCCTCTACACAAATGCAGGTGCCATTTACTGCATCACATGAGGTGTTGTTCTGGCAGCGACAGGACATGCTGCAATTCCAACCGAAACTGCCAGGAGCGCAAGTGTACTGACACCTGTTTCCATGCCGACCGGGAGGACACAGACACCCCTCCCACCTGTCACACGTCCCTCCGTACTCACAGTCACACACTTGGCTACAAACTTCTCCGTAATAGTTGGGTCGGCATTTGGTGGCGTTTATGGCAAAAGTTGTACTAATTACTTCACCATCTAAAGCTTTTACCACGCAAGTGTAACCACCGTTAGCTGATTCTGAGATTGGCAGAAAGTTGATAGAACGGTTCTGTGTTACCCCTTCGTCAATGATTTTTGTGTCATTGTTAGATTTTTCTGCTCGATAAACCCACGTCATATTTGCTACTTGGATGTGTGGGGCCAGGCAGGTCAAGGTCATATTGGTACCGATGTAGTTCACGGCAGAATCGCCAGGTGACGCAATGATGACGACCTCGGGCCAGGGAATATCACAGGCCCTCCCTCTCCAGCCCGGGTGGCACTCACAGGCACCGTTAAACCCATGGCAGCGGGCACCGTTCTCACAAACACAGTCCTTGTCACAGTACAGTCCATACCTGCCCTCGGGACATCCTGTAATGTCGAACTGCAATATGATCTCCAAGGGCCATGTGTTTTCGTACCATGTGACGTTAGCACCACATTGTATCCAATAGGACGAAGTGGACCATATCTCAGTTATCTCTAACAGTGCTACATAGCCTACACTTTCTGTTACGTCGCATCGACCACCCTGTGCCCACTCAGGCAACATTCTGTCAGAGAAGTAAAGGTTCCAAGCACTAATCTTGCCCACACTTCTCAACTGTCTATTTTGACACTGAAACTCTATCCTCCCTCCATTCTGAGGTTCGTCAAGCGCCAAACGGAATATGTCTAATGTATTCCACGGATAGTCATGGGGAACAGCAAAACACAGTCGAAGGGAGCAGTTGTTCATGATAGCATCATGGGCAACTTCGCGTAATCCTGAAGGGAAGAAAGATGGATACTCTCTCCTGATCCCATTAAGTACCACATCGTAGTGTTCTTCAGTACTGCTCAGTACGCTATAGTCCTCAGTCGTCGCAGTATCAGGTAGGACTGGTGTTTCACACCGCTTGTTGTAGTGTGGCGGGAATCCTGACACGTCTGTGACCACAATTGCGAGGTTTACGCACCAAACTTCGCTGTTGTTGTTGTCTCCAGTATTTGCCAGCTCCAGGGACAGATTGTACCGAGTGCTGTACTCGTAGTCAAGCGGTGCTGCGACGATTAGAGTCAAGTTATCAACAACAACCTCAAACCGTCTGAGATCGTTGCCTCTGGTGATGTTCACAGTCCACGATGTTCGAGTTTCCTCTTCTTCTATGAAGCCACCGCCGCCGGCGTCAAGAAAGTCTCGCAGGTGCTTGACTGTGCTGCCGACTGGCGCGTCCTAGCGTACGGTGACGTTTTCGACCAAAAACGTCGCGTTTGGGCCGGCCTGGAGGGATGGAATTAGGTTGGCGAGTAGAAACACGACACAAAACGTCATCTTCTTCTCACATACACCACAACAGTTTCCCTGAAACTGCAGATATCACGGACTGAGTTTTACCTGGTTGGAAAGATGCACACACAAGGGTAAAATTGTGACCGCCCTGTAAGAACATAAACTTGCCACCAGTCCAACGTTAGGCCACAGCATGTAAATTTTATGGATGACATCCTACGCAGACCCCAAATCTAATGCGAGCGGGCGAAAAAAAAAACAAGGCGGGCCGAAAAAAACAGGGTTCCTACATTTCAAAATTTTGACTCAATCATTGTACAGACGGTTTTGATTCAGTGGGAACATCACATATACACAGACAGCATCACATATTACTGCATCAAAGTAAGAAACAAAACATTAAATCAGAGCCTTTTCCTGTCTCCTCTCTTCATAGTTATCTGCCATCCACATTCCGGCATGGCAACAGACATGCCTATTTTCGGCATGTTGACCACTGTCAGAAGGCAAAAAAAAATTCTTGTTTTTTTTCCAAAATCAGGCAAATTAATGCGCGCGCTGATGTCATCCATAAAAATTACTTGCTGTGCCCTTAATAATCCTCAGATTGTAGACTGTAGTTTAATCACAGTCGTTGTTTGCGTACTACAAGCTGATCGGCAGGAATTTGTAAAGAATTAGTTGTTAAATGAAACATGCTTGGCGTGTGGGTTTGTGACGAGTGACATACAAACTTGAAAGGCAGGAAAGTTCAACAACCCATTATGTCTTCATTCCTACGCCTAGCACGTTTTGTTTTTTTGTTATATATAAATTGCGTGTGCAAATAGACATACAAAATTCTCGTGCTATAGTTGCAACAGGTAGACGTTTTGTCAATATAATAAGTGACGCGGTTTCATACCAGGACTTGACAACACAAAATCTGTCGTCTGTATATTGTTCTAAACCTTTATATTAACGTCAACGTCAAGGTCGTGTGAGCTCAAAAGCGGCCTAGCCTTGTGGTACATGTTATGCTCCGACTCATTTTCTGTATATCTAGGCCGATACATTTATAATGCCATGCATAAAAGAAATCTTAGAATAGCTGTACATATATATAAGTAGTGTCATTGAATACTGTATCAACTACATGTATATAGTGTAGCGTATTGTAGCATTTATATGTAGAATTGTAACATTCTTGGCAATTAATTTAGTCTACACTCTGTTTAGTAGTCATAGAACATGTTTTGCATAGGTACAACTGCTCACTGTACCCTTCATAAGTATATAGTTTAGCGTAATGTAGAACGTGCGTGTAGTCAGTTGAAATATTTTCTAGCCAGTAGTTCTTTATAACACTCTGTCAGATACAGTAAGGCCATGTTGATTTGATTATATGGATGACATCCGCGCGTGCATGTCTTTTCGGTCGTTTTAAAAAAAAGTTTTCAACCATACTGTAAATCGTACAAAACAGTTGCAAAATGAGCAAAAATATACCGTAAGTTACAAAAAAAAAACATACCAATGTCGTAGAATGCCAAAATAAAACGAAAAAAGACGAAATTGTAAAGAAATGAACTTGAAGACTAGATTATTCGCCAAACCATATTCTGTCCCATTTGTTCAACCTTCATGACCACGTAGATTTCATAATGAAAACAACTTTTTTTTTTGCAAAACTTTTTTTTATTCGCACGCGCGCATCAATTTTGGGGTTCCCGGAGGATGTCATCCATATAATCAAATCAACATGGCCTAGGCCTAACCGTTGACCATATATGTACCATTATGA